AAATTGTATTAATTTTCTCGCTAAAAAGTCTTGTCTTTTAATTGAACATGGTGATGCTATTGCTACATTATTGTAATAATTGGTAATTTTGTTTTGATCAAATTCTGGCTAATAAATAAATTAGCAGCTATTAGTATTATATTCTTAAAATTCAATAATAATTAAATTTAAAATAATTGTACCTCGCCATATTCATCCAAGTATTGAGTATAATTTTCCTTAGTTATATTATAACTATCTCGTAAATGGTTTATCATACTTATTGTATTTTCGCTTTTCCGGGTATATGCATAGGGTTTTTTATTAGTTCCTGAATAATTAAGCTCACAAATTTTACAATATACTAATTCAGAGTTATTATTGTCTCTTCGAAAAAAAAGAAGTATGACTTTTATTATTATGGTTGGCCGTTATATTAGAGTTTCATTTTTTTTGTTTATTATTTAATTGTGCAGAAGTAGAACCGGAATCAGTAGAACGGATAGCATTAGTATCATTATTAGTATCTGAAACTGATAAAAATGATATTTTTTTTTCTTGAAATAATGATTAATGAACTTCGAGATTATTCTTGAAATATAGATTGATCAACATCGAAAAATAAATCAATTAATCTTGAAAGAGGCATTTAGTACTTAAGCTACTAATAAACCCTATAGGATTACTAGGATTAGACATTTTTTTTCATTACATATTGAAGAAAATAAACAATTTTTACTAAATTTTTTTTAAATTTTTTTTATCTACGGGTTACTTTTATAGTATCTATTATAAAATTAATATAAATATTTACAATAATGTATAATAATATATTTGATTGATTTTTAAATGAAAATGACATAATATACCATCATCTATACTCCTATACTACTAGGGAACGGTATCACCATTATGAAGTTCGGAGTTTAAGATCATGTAAATTAATTATGTCAATATCATTAAATATATCATTACGTCTAATAAAAATAAAAACAACACATTTTAGGAAGAATTTATTAAATCTATGTTGTGAGCAGTTTCTTTTTTAGGAAAATATACCATGGTATTTATAAATAGCTGATATTTGTCATCTCAAATGATAAGCAGGTGGACAAACGGACATAATGCATAGAAAGTAAATAATTCTTCGTTAACGCTTCAGACTAATAAACTGATATAAAACCAGTTATCGATTATGAATATAATCAGTTATCAATTTTACAAATTCTGAACCAGTTTTAATCTGATACGATAAAAACTGGTTATAAATCTGATATCAATAACCAGTACTGACCTTTACGTTAGCCTTTTAATAAAAAAACACCTTAATAATCACATTTTCAAATATGCTGATAACCTGAGAAGATATATATATATAGATTTATAATTTTCAGCACGTTTTAAAATCAGAATCATTAATGTCTACTTATTAAGTACCAATACACAAACTATTAAAGAAGTATCAAACATCTTTTGATAAGCCCTAACAACTAATATAAATATTATATTACTTGGAGACTTTAATGTTAAACATACCAATTCTTCTAAAATGAAAGAATTTTTTCCCTTCTTAATTTCTTAATTCATGTGATCTAATTCATAACAATGCCAATATCTCTCATACCACTTATTGTCACATCCCTACTTCTTATCCTTTTCGCATTAATCATATCTTTTTATTATCTTCTATCTCATATGGTATTATATTATTCATAGAAGTAGATTCACAATATGCTGATCATGTAGCGGAAGCATTTTTTACTATATTTACTTAGTAAAAAGCATATCTGAAGCTGTTGAAGCATTTTTTACTATATTTTACTTAGTAAAAAAGCATTTCCAAAGCTGCGAAAGTATTTTTTACTATGTTTTACTTAGTAAAAAAGCATTTTCAAAGCTGTAAAGGCGTTTTTTACTATGGTTTACTTAGTAAAAAAAGCATTTTCGAAGCTGTGAAGGCGTTTTTTACTATGGTTTACTTAGTAAAAAAAGCATTTTCAAAGCCGCAAAGGCATTTTACTATATTTTTCTTAGTAAATACCATCTTTGAAGCTTCAAAGATGGTTTTACTATTGATTTGAATCAAATCAAGTCAAATATTTGAATACTTGATTTGAATTTGATCAAATCGAATTAAAGATTAATTTGGATTTGATCAAATAAATGATTCTTTAATTTGAATTTGATCAAATCTAATCAAAGATTAATTTGGATTTGATCAAATAAATGATTATTTGTTTTGAATTTGATCAAATCGAATTAAATATAAATTTGTATTTGTATTTGATTTGATTTTCAAATCAAACATTGAATATCAAATTGAATTGCAGAACCCTAGTATTAGACAGGTTTTAAATACAATTTTATATGTTCAAAACTTTGTTTAAAATTAAAAAAAAAGACCTATCACTGAGTTACAGTATAAGTTTAATTAATAGTTTTTTCAAGTATAATTTTATAGAAATAAGCATAACAAATAAAATTTACTATCGAAAATTTTTCTTTAAAATTAATAATAATATTAAAGTTGATTAATTTCAAAAATATGATTTGCATTTATCATATAATACACAAACAAATAAAATCTTTATAAAATTTTAAAGATCAATTCAAATTGATTATAAATATAATAGCTAATTTTTGGCTAATTTCTAAATTTAACTAGAAAATAATTGTCCTAAGTATAGTGGAGGACATTTTACTTTTAGGTCATTCAAATGCAAGATCGTTCTGTCCGTCCAAATTTGGCAAGCCTGATAACTAATGACATTTTGTTTACGTTATACGTGTTATATCTTTTGTATTACAAAATAATTAATCATGTGAAATATAATAATATAAGGCTAGTTCAAAGTCAGTCGATCAGCACTTTGATCACAAAAATTAATATCCAATTAAATTAGCAATCAAAAATTCATAATTGAGATTGTTGATCGTGTGATTGATCGTTAAATAGCTTTTTTTTTGAATCGTGCGTTCACATTTTTTGAGTTGTTAGTTAAACTATTTAATTTCACTTTTTTTGTTAAAAAATATGTCAGAAAATAGAAAGATAGAAAATTTATTATCTTTTTATATCCTTAAGGCTTATCAAGATATAGAAGATAAAGATTTATTTGAAGGTGAAGATTCAAGTGAAGAAGAAGATGAAATGGTAATTCTTAGTTTAACTTTATTACTTGAAATACAATATTTTGAGCAAAGAACTCATGTAATAAAATCAAAAGATTGGAACTGTAATATTTTATCAAATTATGATGATATCAGATTTAAAAAAATAATGAGAATGGATTCTATAAATTTTCAAAAGCTAATATCAGTATTAAATCCTCTCCCAATTTTTCAAAATAATAGTAATAATTTACAAGCCTCTGTTGAACTTCAACTTGCAGTTTTTTTAAAAAGGATTGATTCTAAAGAAAATATTTTTGAAATATATTCAAGTTTGGAATTGCTAAAGGAACTGTTTATTTATATTGTAAAATAATAATGATTGCAATTTTTTCATTAAAAAAATTTTAGTTAAATAGCCAACAAATGAAACTAAACAAAGAGTATATAAATAGTTTAAAAATATTAGTGGAATGGAAAATGTAATTGGTGCAATAGATAGAAGTCATATAGTATTAGCAAATATCCTATTAAAACAACCTGAGACATATTGGAATAGGAAAAAAAGATATTCTATACAATTACAAGGAATTGTAGATTATAAAAGCATATTTATAGATTATGAGATTGGGTGGCCTGGTTCAGTTCATGATGCTAGAGTAGATAAAAATTTTCATTTTTATCTTAATGCTTCTAAAATTATTAAAGGTAATGAATTTTTACTTGGAGATTCAGCTTATCCAATATCAACTTTGTTAATTAAACCTTTTACAAATTCTCAAGTTCCTTCACAAATATAATTTAATTTAATTCATTCTTTACATAGAGTAGTAGTTGAAAATGCTTTTGGCAAACTTAAAAAAATAGATTTATTGCTTTAAAAGATTTAAGTATTAGAAAGGTTTCTATGGCTGTTAAAATAACTGAATGTGCAATTATTTTGCATAATTTTTTAGAATTAAATAATGATAGTTTAGAAGATTTAGCAGAAAATAATGATGATAATATGGAAGTGATTATGATAGTGATGAGAATGATGATGATGAAAGAGTTATATCAAATCTAAATGAAATAGTATTAAAAAGAGAAGGTGAAAGAAAGAGAGAACAATTAATAAATATAATTGTTAGTAATTAATAAAAAAAATTTTTTATATTATTAAATTATTTAAGTCTATTTTACATAAAACAATTATAAATTTTATGTGAATATTATGCGAATGTTACGTGAACATTTTATAAACATTACATGAATGTGATCTACAAATATTACGTGAAAAATTTATTAAATTTTATCTTTTGGATTATTATTATTTTGACCAAATTTAAGTTCTATTTCCTTCATTTTTAATTCAAATTCCATCTTTGCCTTCTTTCTTTCAAATTCCTATTTTTGCTTTTCTACCTCCAATTTATTCATTTTAATAGTATGATTTTTTTCTATTTTTTCTCTCTCTAATTCAATTTTTTTATTCCATACTCTTTCTCTATTTCAAATAGCTATAGAATCTACATTATTTTTTTTTTTGATTTTTTAGGTAAATTACATTTATTTTTCAAAGATTCTTCATTTTCATTATTGGTAAACCTATTTACTATAAAGAAGGTGATATATTTTCGCGAATGCCAAATAAACTATTCATTTTTTCATACCATTCCTAATCTTTTCTTTCTACACCAGCTATTTCATTATGATTTTTAATTTCTGTATAAATTTTAATTATTCTTGTTAACTTACTTTTAATAGCATTAGGTTCTTTGTTTTTTTAACACATTTGTAGACATTTCATTAAATATCTTCATTTTATTTTCTCTTTTATACTCATCAAAATTATCAGTAATATGTTGAATTAAAAGATCAATTTTATGATCTTTCCAAGTACAATTTGATTTATCTAAGGAATCTAATTTTCATTTAATAGCAACTTTTTTTTTGTTAGAAATCTTTGTAACTTTCTAAATATATTTAAAAGTTAATTATTATTAAATAATCTTTGTAATTTAATAAAAAAAAAATAAATAAATTAGATATTTTTTTACTTACTTCTAATTCCTCTTTAGAAAAATCAAACTTTTCTTTTTCTTGAGTTAAGTCTATGCTTTGTAAATTGGCAGATTCTTTTTTAATGTCAATATAATCGACTGTAGAAGTACCTCTCAAAAATTGGTTATAATCATTATATGAATAATTAGGAGCAGCGAAATTTTGATAAGAAAATTGAGAAAAAGCTTTATTTTGTTCTTGTTCAAAAGAGCCAGTAGAATACTGCTTTGGGTTTTATTTGACAAAGTATTTAAGATATCTCTTGAAAATTCCATGATGGAAAAAACGCGTTAAATACGTGTTATACTTATCTCCTCAATTATCGGTTAAAAGATTTAACAATTCGATCAAAACCGATCATCGAATTTGGTTGATCGCAATGATCGTCATGAAGTCTAATTTTATTGGTCAGAAATTTGGTGTAACCCGTTCAAACAAGCCGATCGATCAACTTTGAACTAGCCTATAATTTATATACCATACCATACTTCGGACTTTGAACGGATCCCGTTCCCTAGTTATAGAAATTATTGTTAAGTTATCAATCATGTATTTACTTAATATTTGAATGAACAGATATTTAAATGTCTTATATACTGTAATATAACACAAAAGTATATATTTCTTATTACATTTTGAACTTATTAATATTGTTATTTAAATATAAAATGAAAGTAGTAAAATAAAAACACTATTACATATCATTACTTATGTATCTTAAAAATATAGTATTTTGACTTTAGTCTTTTAGATAAAATTGCAAAACTTTTGGATGAACTTCAAAATTTTTATCATACATTGATTAAATATTCAGAAATATATAATAAATTGTAATCCTCAAAATTCATTATATAAATATACAAAATAATGCTTAATAAATAATTTAATTTGAATAAATTATTAATATATATAAAATGTAAATATTATAATAGCAAAAGTTATCAAATAATAATTTTATATTCATAAAATTTTATTTTGTAGAAATAGATTAAAAAATAAATTGATTTTGACACTTTTTTTATATTGCTTCTAGTAAAATTACAAAATATAAATTCAATTTTAATACTATACTCAGGGTTGGGAATTTTGTATATACTAGATAAAATTAACACTGTATTTGTACTAATTTTATATTAATTATTGTAATATATATAATATATACACTACGAATTGTACTAATTATTGTAGCACTGTACTTTTAATTATTCTATACATAGAATTGTCTTTATAAGTCAGAAAATATGTTCGTCATGTTATACTTAATGTATGCAAAAATAAATAATAATAATAATAACGAATTACAATATTGTGCAAGTTAAAAACAAAAGCATTGATCTACGAATTTTTTATTTATATTATATATTTTTTTTTTTTTTACATGCCGACATATCGAACACACAAATAGTTCGAAGAAAAATATAAATAACGTTATAACCTCGCAAAAGTGAATATCCATTTTTTTTTTTTTTATGATTACACCCTAAAAAAAAATTAAAAGAATGTATTACCGGCGTCGAAAGACGGAACCCAAAACGGTCCATATTTTAAGAATAAGTGTTATGATAATACTTTTAATTTTCATTATAGCGTATACTATTTTTTTAATGAAATTTATCGCTGATGATGACCCGGTTATTCAGAGTTCAATTGAAGAAGCTTTTGAAGTACCAATTCCTAGTATGTTTTAAAAATAAAATAAAAAATAATAATACTTTAATTAAATAATGAATACTTTTTTAGATATGGGATTTAATTTTCTGTCTCAATATCAATTCAAAATAGATTGCACGTATTTAAGTAAATAATTTATTTTAATTTTTTTTTAAAAATCAAAAATAAATTGAACATTAATTTATCAATGAAATTTATTATAGCCTTAGATGAAAAACAACATTTGTGTAATGATACAGTAATTCAACCAAAATATTTGGAATATAATGGACATCCTGGTTCTTATGGATATTTTATGAATAAAAATAATTTAAATTTTACAAAATTAACGGGTCCAAATGGTCCAAATGCAAATGCAATAACGGGCATTTTAATAACTATCTCCTCTCCTATGATTTCAACTGATAATCTTTTTGATATGTCGACGATACAATTTTTTGCTATCGATACTGGTAATTTCATAAAATAATATATTGATTTTTTTAAAGTTTTGCTGGTAACCAAATACAATATATTTAAAAACATAACACGTATGTAGAAAAAAGTCCAATAGATCTTGAAAAATTCGTCATTACAAATGACACAGCGTTTAGTGAATTACCTAGATATGTTGGTGAATCAATTACAGATAATTCATTTATCTTGCCTAACAAACAGGTATATTATTGGAAGCTTATTTTTATTTTTTTTTTATTAACAAAAAAAAAATTACTTATTATAATTTAGCAATTGAATGTAAGATTGAATAGGCGTATAAGAAAAACGATTCATTCAAAATTCACAGGTACTCTTGGAATTAATCCATCTTATGATGTGCAACCTTATCTTCGATCCAATTTACGTGAGTATAGTATTCAATTAACATTATAAAATACAAACAATTTTATTTATTTATTATTTTTCATAATAGAGAGCATGCCTTTTCCACCGGAAGTTAACATACCCGCCGGAATGTTTTTAGGTCAAATTATCTTTACTTTCCAAAATTTCCTTGTAACAGTGGAGACTGAACAAAGGTATGTTTAAAAATACGTTAGATACTATAAGATTGATTCAATAACACACACACACGCTTAAAAAAAAAATTTAATTTAATTTTGTCATTAAATTTAAGAACGCGAACCGTAAGTATCACTATTAAGAAACTTTATTTCATATTAATTTATAAATTAATAATTTCATATTTCATAAAAAGGTACTTGGTATGTTTGGTCTGGTTGGAGGCGCCTGGAGTCTGGCTGCGGCATTATATGCTTCTCTATTCGGTAATAAAACTACGATTGTCTTTAATAAATAAGAAATATTCATTCATTCTCAGACTTACTAACTCATTAAATTTGTAAACAGGTGTAGATATGATTCGTCCTTGGGGTTGTGTACAACTGTATTGTTGTAATTTAAGTAGATTTCATAATAAACTTAAACAGACACTTCCAACAATTCCATTGGTCGATCCTTCTCCCTCTCAAGATGTCAAAGTATTACAAGATCGTTTAAGTGCCCTTGAAATTTTTCTAAAAGAATATGTTATAGATGTAAAACATTTGGAAAATATAAAGAAAATTGGAGATGACTATAAAGGATTGCCACCTATTCCTAATATTATACCAATGAATCGAAATCAAAGAGAATTGCCACCCATTCCTAATCAATCTTCTGTATATTACTCACAACCTTCATCCAACATACCAGAATTTACTATTGGTAATACTTTTTCAGCATCATCTAGTCAATATCATGGATCATCTGTTGTTAATCCGGGAACCCAAGCAAATTATTAAGTTATGCTGAAAATATTTTGATTTCCTTTAATTTTAACTTTATTAAGATTATTCATAAAAAAAAAAAAAAATTTAATTTAATTTTAAGGCATAAATAGCATAAATTAAAGATAATAAAAAAGGTACGAATATTAATTTAAGAGATATCTTCTGGTTATTCATAACATATGTACGGATCGGATAATACAAATTAAAAAAAATCCCCAAAGTTGGTCTGCTTCTTTAATTTGATCTGTATATCTCAAAATTTAGCATCCTGACTTTCTCTCGGATTATAACGATTTTATTTAAAGTAAACGTATAATTAATAGAATGTGTCGTCAAATTCTACAAGTGCAGCTGTAAGGGAATGAGCGTAGCAGATAAAATCCTTGATCGCAAATTTTCTTCGGAATGATCATAGTATTTATGACGCATTCGCCCATATAATAAAACAATTTTAATATAGTTGAACGGATTTTAAAAAATATGGTTTGCGCCCGTCACTTGATGCACACAAATAAAAATTTGCAAATTGATCTGCTGTAGATGATTGATAAGTTAAGTACTTTGAACGAAAATTTCAAAGGAAACTATGAGATATATTATGTATGTTCCAAAGGATATTTTTTTTAAAAAAAAAAATAATAATAAAGAAAAGAAAGGAAATAAATCTCTGATCTGAATTTAAGTAATTTCCTAATAAGTAAGAATTAACAAACGTCCAATGTCATTGTACAGACTAATATAAAATAATAAAAAAAAGAGTTCAGTCAAAACAATATTTAGAGGGCATATTTTTGTTTACCTTTTTATTTTTCGTTAGCGATCAAAAATTTATATAGGCTGTTATTACCGTACTGCAACATTAATACATTAATTTTTCATGAATTTCTCATCGATGACGAGATCATTGAGATCATTCAGTAGGAAGTTTAGTAATCATAAATATCGCACGGCCCTATAGGATCATGCTGAGTTTATTTGACCTATATTTTTTTATAATAGACTTCAATTTGCATATATCGTACAATATTGAAAATTAGTAGCTTATTTGCGTTCAATATTGAAATCAATAGTTAATTATCGTATATCATTAAAAATAATTTATTTTCTCATATTATCGTTTCTAAATCCTCTTGTTTAATAAAATATACTAAAGAGCTAGTATTCATAGTAATTTTAAAGATTTATCATTTGTATTTATTTGTTGCAACCTTTTAAGTAAAGTAATTAACTTTTGTAATGATTAACTTATTACTAAAGTAGTGAATAATTCACTATAACTAATAAATATTTAAATAAAAGTCATTTTGAAATAATGCCTATTAGTTATTAGTTTTTTCACGCGAAATTTGTTTGAATAATAAAGGTAGCTCAGGTAGAAATTGACTGTAAAAAAGGTAATTGCGCATCCAACAACAAATTTGTACCAAAAATTTGGTATGATTCATTTGATACAAAATCACGAAATAATTGTATACTTTTCAAGAGAAAGTTTTATCAATAGATCTGCCGAACCATCTAACAAGATACTAACTAGAAAAAATCTCAGAGCTTTTAAGCATGATCTGCTTTAGCCGTACGATAGATAATATAGATATTACGGTAATTATTTACATTGATTAACGTCACTTCGTGACGTTAACCAATATAAATAACGCACCGAAAATATCCATAACATATGGGATGGACAAAATATCCATACGCTAATATATAATCTTTATATTTCTTTCTTAATGTAAAAGAAAACAAAACAACTTTCTATATTTGCCCTTTTCAAACTCTCTTCCCACATTTTCGTGCCTTTGACGAGTATTAGTAATGGTTTGCTTGACCATTGTGTACCCTATTGTTTAGGCAAGTTAATAGTCATTTATCATTTTTTTATCATGTGATTATATTTTTATTTTAGGCCAATAATATGGGGGGGGGGGGGGGGGCCTTTGCAATAGAAAGGGGGAAAAATAAAATAATGAGTTAATGCTAAATTTGAACATATTTCGGCCTGAAAATCATATTTGTCAATATAAAAGTAAAATTGATTTTTCCTGGCAGTTTTCCCCCTTTCTATTGCAAAGGCCCCATATCTTCAAATGATATATTCATCCAAATTTGTAAAAATAAAAACATGACATGAAACCAAATAGTAATACGCAACGCGACTCGTAAAATTATACTATATAAAATCCCTAATACCCAAAAATTCAATAAATACCTTTTTACTTGTACAAGAAAATTTTTTAAGAACAACCCATAGACCTTTTTAGTTTATAAATTATTTTCTCAATATTAACGCAAATTTGATAAGGCTAATAAAATCAATTTGTTTTATATGAGCTTTGTTATTAAACTGTGAACCTTTTAATCAAAATTATTGTAAATATGTTATATGAACTTTATTTAACTTAAATAAAATTAGAATAAATTTAAAAATGAAAAGTAGCTAAACACTTTAATATAAAGTTAACTACAAAGAGTCTCGAAAAGTTTACACACACATTTAAATATCTTTAACGTCAATTTTCTCAATATTTAGCAATTCAAATTAAACAAAACTTTAATATATTATAGATAAATAATATATTTATAATGTATCAAAAGTTGTGTTAATTTTAATTAATGGTTGATGAGAAATTTAAATAATAATAATATAAAATTATATAAAAGTTTGCAAAAACTATATTAAAGATTTCGCACACGATCGTTACCGTTGTATATCCCAAATCCAGTGATTGAAATTGGACCAAAATTTAATAAAAGAGCTAATATAAATCATAGGTCGTTGAGAAATCGAATATATTATAATTTATAAAAAATTATTAAAAAGAATTTATATGTTATCGATATTCTCATTCGAATTAGCTCAAATTTTTATGTTATAGATTAGATTGTGTTTATAATATATTAAATTTTGGTCTAATTTGAATCACTAGCTTTTGAGATATTCAACAGTAACGATTTGTGCGTAAACTTTTGGAGACCCTCTGTACGTATAAGGATATATCTATTAAATAAATACATTAAAAAACGTGTGTTGGTGTATATATTCTACGATTGAATGAATAAAAAAATTCATTGTTTCACTGCATAAAACTTGATTATATATTACGCAATTTATAAATGTGTTTCTAAATACTAAAATTTGAGAAATCTATTGAGGATTCAATGATTGCTATTTTCAGTCACGATTCATGTGAACAAAAATGGCGTCTATTTGTATACTTGGAAATCTTTTTCTCTCGCAGGATTTGAAACTCCATTATTATTAACTTAATCGCGAATTTAACTCGGATGATTATTTTCAATTAAAGATTTCAAAAAAGAGAAAACATTTATATTTTTAGATTATAAATATAAATGTGCAATAATCTGTAATAAATTTCTTTTTATAAGAACAATGCATTTCAATAATTTAATCACTCGACGTCGAAAGACAGAACCTAAATCCGTTCATGTTTTAAGAGCATGTATTAAGACTTTTCTACTAGCCTTCCTTGTAGCATACATTATTTTTATGATTAACGAAGTGATTCATGATGTCCCAGTTATACATATTTCAGAAGAAGATGCCGACGAAATGCCATTTCCTGGTATGTATATATGAAAAAATGAGTTAATTTCGAGATATATTTTTTAAATATTGTTTCTTTCAGATATGGGATTTATGTCCAAATTTTCATTCAATGTGGAATGTCGGTTTATAAGTAAATTATTAAAATTTTTTTTAAAAAAAAAAATTTTTTTGTGACAATTAAATTAAAACTTATTATGTAGGTGTAATTGGTGCGACAACAGGAGATTATAGTTGTAACAATTCTTTGGTTCAACCACAACGAATAAATTACGATAATTCCGATGTTTATTTCGGATATTTTTTCAATAATAATAATTTAAAATATACAGCAGATCCAAGGTTCACCAATTCAGTTATAGAAATAGATATTTTTTCTGATACATCTGCTAATATTATAACTTTTTCAGCTATTGACTCGGGTAAAATTTAAAATTTTATATTAAATTTTTGATGAAAATGTATTAATAATATATACGAATATATAGAATATAATCCTTTCAAATCTCAAGATAATACAATTAATATTGAAATACCTATGCTTGGTCTTATTAACAAATTACTCAACAGTTATGTTATCATCAATAACCAGGTAAATAATATTAAAAAAAAACTCTTTTTTTTAATAAAATAAGATTACCTAATTTTATATTTAGTATTCATATATAGAATTGGCTAGACATAAAAGAAAAAAAATTAGGCGAGGAATTAGAGATATTCTTTTTGGATTTCCATCTTATGATGTACAACCTTTTATTGTATCCAATTTGTGTATGTATATACTGTAGATGCCGTTTATTATTGATTATAAAATATTGAAATCATTATTTTTAATCATAACAGTGAGCATGCCTTTAACTGATGAACAACGCACTAGACCCGATGCATATTTAAGTAAAATTGGTTTAAACATAAAAAATTTCCAAATACAAGTAGAAACCGAACGAAGGTATGTCAGAAAACCGATATTCACACAAAAGAAACAACTGATTTTATTAATAACAAAAATTGACATTCTGCGCCATTCATTTAGAACACGTTCTGTAAGTTTTATGGCATATCCAAAATGGACATCGTGTTTTAGTATAAGTCTAATTTATATAAATTTCATTTTAAAAGTTACTCAACGTGGTTGGTCTTGTAGGCGGTGCTTGGAGTATATCTATGGTATTATATACGCTTCTATTTGGTAAATTTTTGTTTCCTTTTTTTATAAAAAAAAAAAAAAATTTATAATACAGATTTATTATGTTTTATGATGTTCTCTATCTGAAATAGGCGCAAATTTGTTTCGTCCTTGGGGTTGTACGCAAGCTTATTGTTGTGGATATAGAACATATAACAAATTTAAAAATACTCTTCCAGTACTTCCATTAGTCAATAGTTCTTCCTTGTTGACGAAGCCAAATCCTTCCCTTCAGGATATTACGGAATTACAAGATCGTTTGAACTCACTTGAAATGTTTTTAATGGAATATGTTGTAGATGTAAAGTATTTGGAAAAATCAGAGAAAATGGATCAAAAATTAGATGATGGTAAATAATTATCACATATATTCAAACTTCTAAATTAAGTATGGTTTAATTAAAGTGGTCATAATTGGTTAGAGATTAGGGTTTAATAGATAACAAGTATACTTTAGTTTATTATTATAATATATGTATTATAATATATGTATATTATTAATAAATTTTATATAAAAATATTATAATTTAAATTCGAATTCAAATGTTAGAAATATTTATTTTATCCTCGCTATTTGTCTTTTAGTATGAAGCTCAATCAATTTAAATTATGCAATCACATTGTTAATTCCAACTGGTAAAATAAATTGACTATATGATAATTAATCTGATTTTAGCAAATATTAATTTTAATAACTACTATATCAATTTGATAACATATTTATATTCTGTAATCTTCATTAATTATAATAGCTGTAATTTTAGATTTTACTCAATTATTTATATTTTAAGTAACTAGAAATTACGAATAGCAGGGGACTTTGTCCCCACGAAACTTATCGACATACCCCATTCATTGTAATGTGATTAACAAGTATCTTTTATTTATAAAATGAAAAGAATAAATAATTACTTGAAATACATATATAAATTGTTTGTCTTTATATAAAAAGAATAGTTTAATTAGCTAAATTATAATCTGTATAAATAACATAACTAAGAAAATAAATATATGGGTGGTGTGTTATTAAAATTGAGTTACAGGACATAGTAAATCATATGATCTGTACCTCAATTTTAATCACACCACCCATATTATAAAATTAAAGAAAAATAAGGAATTAAAAAATTATAAAAAATTAAGAAAGTTCAGATCTTAGTGATTTATTATGATCACAAATAATAAACTATGATTAATGCTATATTATATATTCAAATCAATTCTTTTCTTTTTAATTTCAAAGCAAATTAAACAAATTAAACTTTCTTGAAATAATGTTTTTTTTAGTATTGGAATTTCTTCATAATTTTTATTTTACAAATGTTTTTTCTTTTGTAATATTTTGTCAAATAGCATCATTTCTTATATTATGTCATATAATTTGTTATTAAACTTTTGACAATATTTTGATCTCTTTTTTTATCAAATAATAAGATTTGGTTTTTTATTACAATTTTATCTTATTGCAAATTTTACTAAAAAGAAAATATAAATACAAAATCAGTTTGATTCTGCCGAATTATACCTATATATTTAAATTTAAAAATATATAAAAAAATAAAAAATAAATTAATGTATTTATGAAAAAATTGATAATTTTATGAATATTTATTGAATACTAATAAAATTTAATACACAATCATTTTGATACCTACTAAACAACTTTAATTAGTTTTGAAAAGCTGTTTCATTCAATTAAAGTATTGGAATTCATCTTAAAAGAAAAAGAAAATAAAATAAATTAGTGTATTTATGAAAAAAATTGATAATTTTGTGAATATTTATTAAATATCAATAAAATTTGATATATAATCATTTTGATACCTATTGAACAACTTTGTTTAATTTCAGAAAGACTGTTTTATTCAACCAAAGTACCAGAATTCACCTTGAAAGAAAAATTAAATAAAAAAAATAAAAAAGAAATTAGTATATTTATGAAAAAAATTAATAGTTTCATGAATATTTATTGAATACTAATAAAATTTAATACACAATTATTTTGATACCTACTTAACAACTTTGTTTAATCTTGAAAAGGCTACTTTATTTGACTAAAATATCAGAATTTACCTTAAAATAAAATTAAATAAAATCAAAAATAAAAAATAAATTAATATATTTATGAAAAAATTGATAATTTTATGCAATATTAATGAAATTTGATACACAACCATTTTAATATTTACTGAATAACTTTGTTTAATCTTAGAATATATTAATATAATTTTTATATTTTTTTACAAAAAAAAAATAAAATAGTAATGAAAAAATTAAATTAAAATTAAAATTAAAAAAAAAAATTTTTGAAAATTATTTTTCTGTAATACTATATCTATACACAAAAATGTAATACAATAAATGTAACACAAAATGAAAATCATTTAAAGAAATTATTTTGGTTTTTTGTTGATCTACAAAATTAAAAAAACTACTTTGTGATTGTTAAATTAACATGACTTGAAAATATTATAAGAGAATTTCTTTCAGAATTTTATTTTAATAATTTTAAAGAATTTATAAGCTTATTGTAATTGCAAAAATATATGAATATGATATACTAGTATATCACATATTAAATATGCATATATATATATTAGTCGCCAGAAGATCTTTGATATAATTATATCAAAGATCCTCTGGTGACTTGAGTTAGATTATGACGGTGTAGTTGCCATAACCCTTGTTTTACAAATGTATAGCATTTTTGAGTTCGATAAGCTTCAACATAGCTTGTACCTTCTTGATCGTTTCTGCCACTCGTCATCAAGAAGATTTGTTTTACAAATTAATTTTTAATTGCTGAGAATCTTTTCCTTCACGTTAAGCGATAATTTTCTTTAATAATTTCTTTTCAATGTTATTGTTATCTAATATTTAATCAAGTTATTCTTTAAGTTGTTTATTTCTTCTTTTTATTCTTTCTATAACTAATTATATTATCATATATCTTTATTCCTTCCAGGTGTTTCTTCTAAATATTACTTCTGAATATTTCTTCCGAATGTCTTCTGAATGTTATTTACGAATATTATTTCTCCTTATTAATCTTTAATATTTTCCTTAATACTTTTACTTATTTTCTCTTCATATCGTTCGTTTAAATATTCTTTAACTTCTGTCATATTTTTATTATTCCTTTTAAGTTTTATTTCTGCATTACTTTATTAACATTTTTTTTAAAATTATAGTTTATATACAAGCAAGATAACTTTATTTATTTTCATAATTTATTGTTCAACAATTAATTATTTCAAACAAAAGTATTCATCTTTATTTGTGTTAAAAGTTTATTTATTAAATTATTTTTTTTTTTTTATTCTTGAAAAATTGAACGATCTGGTTCCTTGAGGGAATCCTAAGCCTTTATATAATAAAATTCACTTCGTAATATTCGTTACATGATTTTTACTATATGATTTTCTATTATATGATTTCTATTATTACTATTATTCCTAATTTTCCATTGTTTATTACTAAATTCCGTATTTGTATTTGTTTACTATTTATTGCTTATTGTTTACTATTCAATTTCATTCTGTTGTATTAATTCATACTTCTGTTATATTGCTTTTACTTCCATTATATTAATTCTCATTTGTTTTCCTTATAATTATTTAATGTTTTAATAATAATTTTTCTTTCTTACTTTTTCAGACTTCTGTCTTTCTTCCGTACTTCATATCACTATTAACTTCTGTTCTTCTTCTGATTTCTGTTTCGTTTATGATGTCATGTGTAATCTTTATATTACACAAGCTTCCATGTGGTCCAGTTTGTCATTCCCAATGAGTGTGCCTTTTGTGTAACCTTTTGCATCCTCATGTAACTTCTTCAATTTGTTATTTTTCAAATATTTTCCATCTTTTTATAAGAATTTTTGTCCAGTTGATTAATTATCCTTTTTCCTTAACCATCCGTTTGGTTAATTAATTATCCTTTTTTTCGGTAACTAATTTATCTGAATATTATTCTTTCTCTTAATAAAATGAATATTCCTTCTTTCATCATATGACTTTTCTTTGTAAATTTTACTGTATATTGTTGATTATTTCCTTTTGTATTGCTGTGCCTTAATTAATGAAATTGTTAACTTTACATCATTACCAAATTTCTCATTATAACCCAGAAATGAAGATTTGTTATGGTGAAGTTCAATTGTAAATAATTGTAAATTAAAGAAACATATTTAATTTTTCTTTTTATTTTTTTTATTATTAAGGTTATTAGAATTGATAAATGTGTAAGATTTTTTAATATAAGTAATAACAAATATATTTTAGATAGAGAAAGAATGTAAACTGCTTTGTATTATTATATTATTATATTATTTTAATAAAGTTTAATTTACAATAAAATATTTTGATTATGTAAAATTTTTTATTTTATATTTATATTCATATCATATGAAATAATAAAATAATAACAACATAAAAAAAAAGATATTTATTTCAAATTATTAACATGTAATGAACTGAGAACATTCTTATAATTGTTCTAGAATTGTTTCTCTGAATGGCTTAACTCTTGAATTTTAACATGATCTTCTTGGCTGGTGACTATGAATTATTAAATTTTACTTGCATATAAAAAGAGAATAGTCTTAGTAATAGCAGATCAAAATGTTAAATCTAAATTTATATATTTAATCTTAGCTAACCACCTCTATGCAGTGATTAAGATCAACAGTTAACATTAAACTTAGCATAAATACAATATATTTCTGTTATTTTCTTTTATTAAAATTGATTAAAAAAAATTTACAATTGATATTTATTATAATTCAAAAATGCTACCCAAAAATCATAAAAAAAGTTATCTAACATTATTTTTTTTTTTAAAAAAAAAAAGCCTCCTGAAACTACTATTGTAATTTTTTTTAAAAAAAAAATAAAAATACCACATTAGCATTGATAAAAAAAACCTGTCACCTGGCATCATTATAATTAAAAAAAGCTACCTGATACTGCCATTATTAAAGATGATTCCCATAATTATTTTTAAAATTTTTAACTAGTTGTAACTTAAGTTGCAACACTTTAAGTTGCAACTA